ATAATGGTTTCCGAGTCGGCAATGCATACCTGGTAGTATAAACATCTGATGACGTTTTTGGTACGGGGACACACACTTGTTGTTCCTCGTGCCCAACCTGTCTGTCTGTCGTTTTACGGGAAGTGAACATTTGGGTCGTCGGTCTGCCTCGGGAGCGATTCCGAACCTACCATCGATCAGCGGGAAGCGCTACAACTTCCGAAGCAATATTGTTCACTACCCTCACACAGATGCTTTGCAGTCAGTTCACACTGGCATCTACGTCGTACGTGTAAGCTGTGCGAAGGATTCCACGCCGGGCAGGAAACTGCCGTCAAGAAACCTATCGGCAGGGTTGTCCCCAAAATTGTGGCCAAGATTTATTTGTGATCCGAGAGCTGTTTTTCTAAGGCTTTTAACACAATCTACAACATGGAACTACAAATACCTGCCAGAAGGCGGGCTGCTGTTTTTGAGAACAACACGACCGTGCCCACTTGACCGAACGCTCCCGAAGGGAAGACAAACTCTCTGTGCTCCCGGTCGCGTTCAAGCATGGCTCCTCAAACCCACCGACCAGCGGCAAGGCAAATACCCCCCAGCACCAGCGCGTCGTGGTGGGCCTCCTAGTTGTCAAGGAAAGAGTCACGCTCAAAACAACACCGTCAACCACCACCTAGCTGCTAGTGACACTCCCGGGGGAAAAGGAAAAGAACGGGTATTAATAGTCTTTCTGTGATGCTTACTTTCTAAAACAGGAATAAGACATCCCTCAAGGTGGGACACGGGACACGGGACAATACACTCAATAAACAAAATAATCAGCACCGGCCTGCGCCGTTCGTTTGTTGAGGCCGCCACGTAGATCTCGACGCAAGCAAAACAGATACAACCCTGTCGTTCAGCTGCGAAGGTCCCATACCTACAACCCCACCGCCCGATTGCGGTGAGAATGGATAACCGCCCGAATGAATCTGATCCAACATGAACATCGACGCAAGAAAAACATTTTTTTTTTCTGTGACATGTGAAACAGCGAATCACCCGCGCCGGGCAGGGGTGGAGATGATCGTCCTCTCTCCACGCTCCACACTACCATCACAATAGACAAGACAGGGGGGCGGGGGCGGGTGTGGGGGGCGCAGCCGTCACCTCCTCACACCCCCAAGTTCGTAGTCCAACCCCACCCTTGCTTGTATCTTGCTTCTATTTGGCAAGGTAAGGGCAGGAAGAAACACCACCACCAACAACAACATATAAATGTGCGCACGATGGCACCTACTACTGCTACTTCCATGCATGTACGTGATTCCACCCGACGAGATGTCGACGGCATGCACACATCCCAAAAAAAGGGGGCACCAGAAAGCTTACCTTCACTGCTGCCGAAGTCACCGCTGCGACGTGGCGTCACGCTTGAGGGCGCACCTGGTACAGCAACACTTCACCAAACCAGGGCTATTGCACTACACGAAAAGGATCTTGTTCTGCAGCTGCTGATCCAACAAGGTACAACAAAGTACAACAAAGTACGAAGGTATGGATTATTTCACTATTGTGGGCGCACCCATCACTAAGCAACCTATTGCTGTGTTATCGAAACGCGTCGTCCCATCCGACCTACCGCTGTGCTATTGCCGCTCAATCGTGCTCTTCGCCAAATCACGTCCAAAACAGAAGGAGGGAAAAAAAAACGTGCGACGAGCAAACCCGATTTCGAACGCCAGCCAAGCACGCGAAAACTTGTAAGCATGTGTACCAGATGTTAGCGCCACACCGCGCCAACTTTTGACAAAAAAATTGCTGCTTCTGTTCGATGCTTCGATGCTCGAAACTTCCAAGAACGGCACCGAAAAAAAAACATGGCGCGCTCCACCTGTGACGCACGCTGACCAATACAAGGAAGGAAAAAGAAAACAGCAGCGCGCTGCGTACAACACAGCCAGCAAACCATCCACAGCGCAACACAGAGGAAGAAGGCCGCCGCGTGCCGGGGAAGAGACTGAGTAGACTGCGGCAAAGGATGGGGAGGCGGAAAGGGACACATAGAGCATTGGTGTACCAATGATGGGGAAGAAGGGGTCGTGGGCCGAGCATGGGTGCGCGTGCACTCCCGCACTCCCCACTCTACCCCCCCACCTCCCCTTTTGAGCATCTACCCGGTATAGGGCTGCACCGCATGCTCTACCATGATCCGGCACTCGGGGAGCGGGCACGGCGATCCGACCTGCCTGTTGCCGCACGTCACGCAGCAAATGAAGTGTCCGCACCCCACGAAGGTCACCTGTGATGAGGGCAGTCAGAACCCCCCCCCCGGTCGGTGGGGTATGCCAAAAAAAACAACAAAACAATGAGCCAACAGGTCGGTTAGGGAGGAATCCCAGCGGGTGTTTCATTGGCGGCGAGCAGCGCAAAAAAAAGAGCAAAATGACAAGCTGTCCATGAAAACGGCGACATGCCGCACGCTGCGGCAGCGTTGACAACCGTCCGCCGGCTTGCGTGGTGGATACATATATAGCCGACGACGTCAAGCTTGGCGCACGCGCAACCGTTCCTGCTGTTATCTTCACATTAAAACCGTCCCGTTCTCTCTGCCCAGTACCTCCTTCTGTCCCTACTACACTTGTCGGGGTCGATTCCCGTTGACAAAAGAAAAAACATGTAACCCTAACCCTAGTGATGGTTGCATATACTACAGCACTAGTCCAGCACATAAGGTCAACCTCTTCATCAAGCGATCGATTTGGTGGGCCAGGAAAAGCGTACGCGATCAATCCCGGCACTCGAGGACAGCAGAGCCCATGATCGTGCGGTCCCGTTGAAAAGAGGGTGGGGCGAGAACCAAGGAGGAAGGGGTTGCGGGGTGAAAAGAACCAACAACAGCAGCGTGCATCTCCCCCCTCCCCTCCGCAGCAAAACGCCAACTTCAGCATATTTCTCGAGAAGATTTCCTCTCACCTCGATCGGGTTCTCCATGCAGATGGCGCACAGGTCAGCCGCCCGCGGCTCGTCGTCGCTCGCGGCAGCAGCGCCGGCTTCCACGCCGCCGTCGCCGCTGTCGCTGCCGGTAGCCGCGGGGGCGGCGGCTGCCCCGTTGGCAGCCGCGGCGGCTCTTTCCATGTTCGCCATGGCCTCTCGGATGGCTTTCTGGATCTTCTTCTGGGGACCAAANGGGGGGGGGGGGGGGGGGGGGGGGGGGGGGGGGGGGGGGGGGGGGGAGAGCAGGATGGTCCAGAGACAGAACCGGGGCGAAGGGAGGGAGGCCAGCGATCAATTTTACACCGTTCGCACTTGCGCAACATAGCCACCGCCAATATACCTGAACCTGACAATGGAGGAACCACTGAGGGACCACAAGAGGTACACACACAGCTGCGAGTGGCGTGCGATTCGCCGGTGAGTCGTTTGGCCTGGCAGCATACAGCAGCAGGTCTGCCTCGTGTGAGAACACGAATGGCATGCACACGCGCACACCACAATCTCTCCTTTTCTCTGCTGCGGCAAGCACGCTAGAACAGCGCAAGCAAGACACGTTGTGCTCACACACACACAAACACACCCTCACGGGGCCCCAGATCATGACCTTGAAAAGCACTCTCTTTTCAGCCGCACTGAGACTGACGTCTGTTCGTTAGTCCGCCGGATTAGCGCGGTCGATGCTAACAGCAACAGCACAACACAGACGTCGAAACTTCTTGCCTTGATCTCGTCGAAGTCCTGTTCCTCCATCAGCACGATCGCGTTCACGTCGAACTCCTGCTCCAGGAAGTTGGGCAGGAGGTGCATCTGACCCGCCTTCGCGAGAAGCTCCTCCACGCTGTTGAACGGCGGAGGAGGGGGCGGGGAGGCAGTGTTGGCTGCCGCCGCTGCTGCAGGAGGAGCCACCGTCGGGGCCGCGGCAGCGGCCGGAGCAGCAGCCTTTCGCGGCGGGGGCGGCGGCGGCGGTGGCTGGTGCTGGTGCTGGTGCTGCTGTTGCTGCTGCTGGTGCTGTTGTTGCTGCTGTTGTTGTTGCTGCTGGTGCCGCTGGTGCTGTTGTTGCTGCTGTTGTTGTTGCTGGTGGTGGTGCTGCTGATGCTGATGCTGCTGCTGATGCTGATGCTGCTGCTGCTGCTGCCAGTCCAAGGTTAGAATCGGCGACTGAATCTGGTGCCGCCGAGCCAACGCCTCCTGCTGCGCCAAGTACTCTTCGTGTGCCCCCATCATGCCCGGTGGATAGTGGGGCGGCGCCCCCGCCCCAGCCGCGGGCCCCCCCATACCGGGCGGCGGCGGCGGCGGCCTGTGGAGGTTGTCGATTGCCATCTGCGTGGCCGCCGCCGAGGCCGGGTGACCGTTCATACCGGCTGCTGCTGCTCCTCCGTTTCCGAGACCGCCAAGGTCGCCGAAGTTGTGCGTGATGGAACTCACGGACGGGGTCCCCACAGAGGCGACGGAAGGGGTGCCCACTGATGGCGGGGTGGACGAGCCCTGTATTTTTTTCGTTTTTTGTCCCATCGGGTCGCATCGTGTCATCATTTGCGGGTATGAATAATGTACGCCAACGAGGGATAAATTGATAATTTATTTTTGGTGAAAAACTCTAACTCGCTTGTAATCGGAATAATTTAACGTTTTCAGAGCATTCTGAAAAACTCGAGACACAAGCCTGCGCCAACAAAAAATAAAAAAAGAGGGTCGGAGATGAGTAGTAAGACAGAGTACGTCCGACAACACAGGACTCTATAACCTTTGGAGGGAAACAAACGAATTTAGGTTATTTTTTTTCGAGCTACATTAAGTAGGTGCGATACAGAACGCGCAATGGAATTTCTCTTTAACCTTGTTTAAGCACCTCTTGTTTTGCCCGAGGCTCGTTTATCGTCTTGTCTCGAGGGGTACAGCAGTACGGTACCCCCACGGCGCTATGCACATTCTAGTGTACTGTAGGCTTTTTCATTGAACACCTGTTCTTGTGGCCAATTTTGTTTCTTTTTTCTAGGCGCATTTTCTGTACTACGCTACAGCAGTGCGACAGACGGTAACAATTAAAGTAAGGGGTAAACTTTCTCGCCTGTGAGAGGGCAGATGAGGGGTTGAAGCCAAGGAAGGGACCGCTGGCAAACGAAGGCGCACGGCCGACGCCGGCGGCGGCGGCAGCGGCAGCGGCGGTGTTGTCCGAGGCGGTGCCCGAAGCGATCACCTGTCCAAGCGAAGGATCATGACGTCGAGAGCGATTGGCGGAATCAGAGACACGCCCTCGTTCACTAGCTAGATGCATCGTACCAGGGTGGCTCTTTCTCCCTCTCTTCTCTCCCCCTTTGTTTCTGCTTTCCCTCCCCCCCCGTCTCGCTCTCGCTCTCCCTGCCCGTGCTCCGGCACCATGCTCGGTCGCATTTTTCTCTTCGTCTTCTTTGCCTACTGGTTGTTTCTGCCTGTCTGCCTGTCTGCCCTTCTCTCTGTCTCTCTGTCTCTGTCTCTTAACTCACCTCGTCCACGAGAGTCGCGGCTAAATCCACCTCCTCGGCAGTGCCCGTGATAAACACGTCGCGGGGATGTCCATCAGGGTATCCCTGGAACAGCTCCACGTTCGCGTTGCTCATCGACTTTTGTTCAAATGGCAACAGTTTCGGACACATCAAAAGGGAGAGACAACAGGTACAAGAGACGCTCTTAACAAACAACAACAAAAAGGGCAGATATACCGACGAAAAGAACGCAAGGTGCGAGTACGGCACAAAGCACGATCATGATAAAAGTTCAGACCTCCAGACGTAAAAGGTGCGGTCCGTTTCGGAGGGGACAAGGACAAGGTACTAATGCTGCAACAAACCAAAATTAAGCAAGCAGCAGATAAGTACCCTTGACATCATTGTGCCCCCTTCCTTCCCCACCCACTGCGACTTACTTCCTCACCTTGATATGCTTGATCATGGCGCCCTTTTTACCGATGAGATACCCAACCAGAGCGTGGGGACACTTAATGGTTTTCTTGGAGTAATTGAGATCCGGGTGTCCCGGGGGCAAGCCGCCTCCATGGGGGAGTTGCTATTACAGGGTAGCCGGGAAGGTATAGAACGAGATATAGAACGAGAGAGAGCGAGAACGAGAGAGAGAGAGAGAGAGAGAGAAAGAAAGAGAGAGAGAGAGAGAGAGAGAGAGAGAGAAGGGCCGACAGGTAGATAACAATCAGAAGGCAAAGAAGACGAAGAGAAAAAAACGACGAAGCATAGTGCCGGGGAACGGACAGAGAGAGCGAGAGCAAGAGAGGGGGGGGGTACTCATAGTCGTGCATGCCGTGGTCGTTAGACCATTGAACTCGCATCCCTACAAAGCCGGGACGGAGCACGCCGGGTTCTCACCGGACCAGGCTCTCACATCACCAAGCGCGAAGCGCCGTGAGATATTCGGCGAGTGGCATGAAGGGTGCGCTGCATCCTGCTAAGGGTGTTCGGCATCTTGTGCTTACTTCCTTGCGTACGGATGACAGCTGCGTAAGACGTCATTTATTTTCTGGTACTTCACTTCCAGGAACAGTTGTAAGCACTGTGTAACTGCTGTCTCTTATACACATCTAGATGTGTATAAGAGACAG